GACGTCACCGTGGTGGTATTGGTGGTGGCAATTCGTTGGAAGTTGAAATAAAATTCAACAAACTGGGGGAGGGGAGGGGGGTGGGTACAACAGTTGCCAAGACAAAGTTTGAGTTCCACTCGTGTTTGTGTGACCATCGTCCACGTGGTTCGCGTCTTCATGTGCGTCGCTCATCTCACCGCTGTGTTCGCTCCCCCGCCCTCTCTCCCCCCTCCTCCACCACCACCTTCCCATGTGCTCTCTTCCTCCATACACGTGCGTGCGTACGTGTGCGTGCGTGCGTGTGTGTGCGTGCGTGTGTGCGTGTTTGTGTGTGTGTGTGCGTGCATTCATACGTTGGTGACACACGCAATACACACACACACGCGCACACACACGCACACACGCACATGTACACACACGTACACACACACGTACACACACACGTACACAACACGTACACATACACGTACACACGTATACACACGCACGTACACACACACGTACACAACACATGTACACATACACGTACACACGTATACACACACACGCACGTACACACACACACGCGTACACACACACATGTACACACACACACGTACACACACACACGTACACACACATGTACACGCACACACACATGTACACACACACACACGTACACACACGTCAGAGTGGGGGTGGTGGGGAGCCGGGCAGAGTGGGAGGGGGTGCTATGGGGACACGAGCAGTGCGTGGGAGGAGGAGGTGGAGGAGGAGGTGGAGGAGGTGGAGGAGGAGGAGGTGGAGGGATCGTCTGGGGACGAGTCTGTCTTCACCGATTCGATCCGAGAACCGCCTGGCGATCTAAGACACCAAGGTGCGTGCATGCCGGCAAATCAGCATCACCATCATCATCACCATCATCATCATTATCATCAACATCAGCATCACAACCATCATCACCAGCATCACCATTATCATCAACATCAGCATCACAATCATCGCTGTCATCATCATCACCACCACCACCACTATCATCATCAGAACTACCACCATCACCACCACCATCATCACAAACATCATCACTATCATCACCATTATCACAATCATTATTATCAACGTCAGCATTACAATCATCACTATCATCATCGCAATCATCACCATAATGAACACTACTATTATCACCACCACCATCATCACCAACATAATCATCATCACAATCATCACATCATCACCACCAACACCATCATCACCACCATCATCACCACCACCATCATCACCATCATCACCGTCACAATCATTATCATCAACATCAGCATTACAATCATCACTATCATCACCATAATCACCACCACCACCATAATCACCACCACCATCATCACCACCATCATCACCACAACCACTATCATCACTGCCATCATCACTACCACCATCATCATCACAACTACCATCATCACCACCAATATCATCATCACCGCCACCACCATCATCATCACAACCATCATCACCAACCCATTCCCCATATTCTTGGTTCATTCTGTAAAGTCACGAAGAAGGGAAATAATAAAATAATATTTTTTTTACATAATAAAATAAAATTCTCACGACGTTTCGGCCACAACGCAAGCAGCCGTCCTCAAGTGAAGAAACAGCTGTCGGAAAGACAGCGTCCCCGTCAACCCATACGGTTTATTCTGTATTCTTGTACAAGGAAAGTGAGTTTCCAGGGCGATTCGGCGTACAGACATTTCAATACGGGGCAAAAATAATGTGTCTTTGTTTGTGTTTCTCCCTTGCGATGGAACTTTGTAGGGTGAACGTTGAGATGTATAAAGGGCACGGGGTGAGCACTAAGGTCTGAGTTGGTTTCTAAGAAGGTCCGGACACTCATAAGGGGTTGACAGATATGAGAGTGTGGGTGAGTGTGTGGGTGGGTGAGTGTGTGGGTAAGTGAGTGTGTGGTAGGGTGAGTGTGTGGGTGAGTGTGTGTGTGTGAGTGTGTGGGTGAGTGAGTGTGTGGTTGGGTGTGTGGGTGAGTGTGTGTGTGAGTGTGTGTGTGAGTGTGTGGGTGAGTGAGTGTGTGGTTGGGGGAGTGTGTGGGTAGATGAGTGTGTGTGTGGTTGGGTGAGTGTGTGGGTGGGTGAGTGTGTGGGTGAGTGTGTGGGTGGGTGAGGAGTGTGTGGATGAGTTTGTGGGTGATTGTGTGGGTGAGTGTGTGGGTGAGTGTGTGGGTGAGTGTATGGGTAAGTGTGTGGGTGGGTGAGTGTGTGGATGAGTTTGTGGGTGAGTGTGTGGGTGAGTGTGTGGGTGAGTTTGTGGGTGAGTGTGTGGGTGAGTGAGTGTGTGGTTGAGCGTGTGGGTGAGTGTACTAGTGGTGAGTGTACTCGTGGTGATTGTCGATTTGTTTGCATTTCTCCCTTGCGATGGAATTTTCTAGGATGAACGTTGAGATGTATAAGGGCCACGGGGTGACCAATACGGTCTGAATTGGTCTCAAATAAGGATAGGGGCACTGATAAGGGGTTGACATTTCGATTTAAAGCTTTCGTGACTGCAGGGATTCATCTTCTTGGTTCTTTCGGTAAAGTCACGTAGAATGGAAATAATAAAAATAAAACATAATAAAATAATTCTCACGACGTTTCGGCCACAACGCAAGCAGCCGTCCTCAGGTGGAGAACAAGTCTGTCGGGGAGACAGAGTCAGACGGCTGCTTGCGTTGTGGCTGAAACGTCGCGATAATTATTTTATTACGTTTTATTTTTTCATTACTTCCATTCTACGTGACTTTACCGAAAGAACCAAGAAGATGAATCCCTACATAATATTTTATTATGTTTAATTTTTATTATTTTATTATTTCCATTCTACGTGACTTTACCGAAAGAACCAAGAAGATGAATCCCTACATAATATTTTATTATGTTTAATTTTCATTATTTTATTATTTCCATTCTACGTGACTTTACCGAAAGAACCAAGAAGATGAATCCCTACATAATATTTTATTATGTTAAATTTTTATTATTTTATTATTTCCATTCTACGTGACTTTACCGAAAGAACCAACAAGAAGGGGTTGACAGTTTTTTTGCCAACGACGACGAAGACGACGTTGTTATTGCGAATGCGGTGTTAGTGATTGAGCACGCACTCGCTGAGTGTCCATCCCAATCGCCCGGGCTCACTCCGTCTGTGATGATACCTCTACCTGCGCGTTCCGGCATGCGCGTCCCGTAGAGACCCCCCCACCCTCAGGGATGAAGCCATGTTGCAGGCGCGGGTGGGTTGATTCTAGTGTAATAAAGGACTCTTTCACTGTGTCTGTCTCCGTTGTTCTTTATCTGGGTTCTTACAACTTTGCCCCGCACGGCCCTCGCTCAGAGTCTTCTCCACCTTCCGCTCGGCAGCCCTTCTGCTGCCGTCGCTCGCGTAGCCTTTTCTCCTCGCTCCCGATGCAGCTCCGCTGCTGGCTTTCCTCTCAGCCTCTCCGCCAGGGGCGGTTTCTTCATTAGGGCGATTGGGCGACGCACCACCAATGTCATTCAACCACAGAGTCACGCTAGCCGTCACTGTCAGCCTCTGGATATAGTCCAATCAGCGTCATGTCACGTTCTGTGGAGTACCGCCTCTTTTGGGGCGATTTCACTCCGGCTGAGAATCGCCCCGAGTGGCCCCATAGACTTACATTCAAAGATGTTTTTTTTCGAACGGGGGCGCTCCCATGCATTCTCTATGGCTTCCGGGAGGGCGAGCCCTAACGTGCTTACGTCATCATACGTGTTTACGTCATCATACGTGCTAACGTCATCATACGTAAGCACGTTTCATCCAACAATATAATTTATCGCTACCTAGTGGAATCTTTAATAAAATAAACTTGAGTGGTTTGTTTTAATAGTGAGTATATAAACAAACAAGATGTATTGTAAGAGTCACTTTATTTTTCATTAATATTAAAGAAGTGAAGTTGCCTTTACATGCTTAAGCTGTTAATTTATTCATTGCATGGGTGGACCTTATCCTTATCAATCATCCAGACATTTGCCCCCCCTGAGAGATTTTGCAGGAGCCGCCACTGCTCTCCGCCCTTATGCAGTCTCTCGGCTGCTCTCTCTGCAGCCCCACTGCTGCTCTCCGTCCTTCCCGTGCCCGGACACCGCTGGCCGACGGTGCCGAGTCCCGTCCTGTGGCGATCGCGCCACTCTCCACCCTCTGCCCCGCGTGGCCTCCTCCCGTCTTTATTCTTACACTCTCCTCCCGTCTCTTCCGGTTCCCGCCCTTAAGAGCTTTCCCTTCTCCCCCACGTGACCTAACCCCTCCCCCCGTTACGTCATATCCACGAGGCCGTTTACGCCCGCATTACACTAGGAACTTGAATTGTGAGAAGAGACAAGACGTTGGGAAATGAGTGACAAACGGTGACTCACCAGTGACTCACGGCCTACCCGTACCCGGCCGCACCAGGGTCGCAAACGGGTACCTGTACCCGTACCCGGCCGTACCCTTACCCTAACCGTACCCGGCCGGGTACGGGTAGGGTACGGGTATCGGGTACCTGATTGCGACCTCTGGGATGAAGCCACATTGCAGGCACGGGTGGGTTGATTCTAGGAACTTGAATTGTGAGAAGAGACAAGACGTTGGGAAATGAGTGACAAACGGTGACTCACCAGTGACTCACGGCCTACCCGTACCCGTACCCGTACCCGGCCGCACCAGGGTCGCAAACGGGTACCCGTAGCCGGGTATCGGGTAGGGTACGGGTATCGGGTACCCGGTTGCGACCTCTGTGCTGTGTGTTCGAGCTGAGGGGCACCCCCAGTGGCAGCCGTCTGATCGCAAGCCGCCAGCGTTCAGCAGCTGATCTCCGCGTGTGGCGTGCGTCACGCCTTCCCTGCCACTCACCCTCCTTCGCACCCCCTCCCACCCCACCTTCTCGCTGTACCAGGCAAGGTGCACGCGGCGGTGGCTGGGCGGCCGCGCGGCGGGTGGTGGCGGTGGTGGTGGCGGCGGTGGTGGTGGTGGCGGTGGGTGGCGGCTACTACTCATCGGACAGCGCCGGCAGCGGCAGCTTCAGCGCAAATCTTGGGTTCAAGTACCGTCCCTCGAAGCGTCCGAAAGCCAAGCCCTCCCTCGATGGTACGCACGTACCCCACGTGCCCGTACCCACGTGCACGTACTCACACGTGCATTGGCTTCTGGTTGCCGCACGAATGATTTACAAATGAACCATCGTAATAATATCCTCGCTTGCTGATCTCAAGAAGCTATGAACCCGGCTTTTCACTCCGGTCACACGAAATCAACTTGGAACTCACTCACTCGCTCATCATCTCACTCACTCGTAAATCCACTCACTCGATTACCCACTCACCCACCATCTCACTCATTCACTCACTCGTTCACTCACTTATTCACTCACTCATCCACTCACTCATTATCTCACTCTTGGTCTCATGACCCCTCACCCTGGTCACATGAAATCAACTTGGAACTCACTCACTCATCATCTCACTCACTCACTCATCATCTCAGTCACTCAGTTATGCACTCACCCACAATCTCACTCATTCACTCATTCATTCACTCACTCATTCACTCACTCATTTACTCACTCATTCTCTCACTCTTGGTCTCTTGACCCCTCACTTTGGTCACATGAAATCAACTTGGAACTCACTTCCTCATCATCTCACTCACTCATCATTTCACTCACTCAATTACGCACTCACCCACAATGTCACTCATTCATTCACTCACTCATTCACTCACTCACTCATGGTCTCTTGACCCCTCACCCTGGTCACACGAAATCAACTTGGAACTCACTCACTCGCTCATCATCTCACTCACTCGATTACCCACTCACCCACCATCTCATTCATTCACTCACTCGTTCACTCACTCGTTCACTAACTCATTCACTCACTCATCCACTCACTCATTCACTCACGCATCATCAACGTGTAAGTTGAAGCCTCACTCTCTTGGCTGTCCTCCTACAACCTAATTATGCTGATGATGCTGATGATGCTGATGATAATGATGCTGATGATGCTGATGATAATGATGCTTATGATGCTGATGATAATGATGCTGATGATGCTGATGACCCCTCTGCCCCCTCACCCCCCCTCCCCTCCCGGCGTCGCCAGACCTGCCCCTCCCCCCCGCCCCTCCCCCACCGGTGGGCACGTGCCCCCCAATGATGACGACGACGGCGATGGTGGTGGTGGTGGGCGGAGTGGGGGGCTCCCTGGAGCGAGGCGGTGGGTGCGGTGACGATGGCGAGCGGAGCCTGGAGGGGCATTGCGGAGCCCCCGCGGACAAACTCTACGGCCTGCACGGTACGCGGGGGCCGGGGTCAAGGGGGGGATATAGGGTCACGGGGTCACGGGGTCATGAGGTCATGGGGATACGGGGTCACTGGATCATGGGGATACGGGGTTATGGGGTCATGGGGTCAGTGGGTCACGATGGTATGGGGTAGCTGGGTCAATGGGTCATGGGGTCAATGGGTCATGGGGTCACTGGGTCAAGGATATATGGGGTCACGGGGTCACGGGGTCATGGGGTTATGTGGTCACTGGGTCATGGGGTTATGGGGTCATGGGTCATTGGGATATGGGGTCGCTTGGTAATGGGGATGGCTGAACGATAATGGCTTTAAGATACCGGGGGATCTTTGTGTCTCTGTGTCTGGCGTAGAAGCTCCACCTTACTCCCGGCCAAACTTCCCTGGTGGTGGTGGTGGCTACGGTAGTGGTGGTGGCTACGGTGGTGGTGGTGACTACGGTGGTGGCTACGGTGGTGGTGGTGGTGACTACGGTGGTGGCTACGGTGGTGGCTACGGTGGTGGCGGTGCCACCCCAGGTTTCGGCGCGGGACCGATGATGGGGCCTCGGCGGGCACCGTCCGGGAGGTCGTGTGGGCACGCCGACGCTGACGCCGACTTTGTGGAGGTCGCGGATGAGACCCACGCCGGCAAGCTGTGCTACGTGAGCACCCCCCCCCCCTTGGTGATGGTGGCTAGGAGATGTTAACTACCTCGCCTGGTGTACAGGAGGTCGTGGGTTCCATCCAGACCCCTGACGCCTGCTGCTGTATATTTGGAGTTTGCGTGTCTCTCTCTCTCATCATCATCACGGTGGCTAGGAGATGTTAACTACCTCGCCTGGTGTACAGGAGGTCGTGGGTTCAATCCCGACCCTGACGCCTGCTGCTGTATATTTGGAGTTATGATGGTGAAGAGATTAGTCCACACATTTTGCTGTGATGATGATGGTGAACAGATGGATATTAGTCGGGACACTTTTTCTGCAGTGCCTTCTCCTGGCGAGCCAGAGTAACAACAATCATAACAACAACAATCATACCAACAGCAATAATCATAACAACAACAATCATAACAACAACAATCATAACAACAACAATCATAACAACAACAATCAAAACAACAACAACAATCATAACAACAGCAACAATCATACCAACAACAATCATAACAACAATAACAACAATCATAACAACAGCAACAATCATACCAACAACAATCACAACAACAACAATCATAACAACAACAATCATAACAACAACAATCACAACAACAACAATCATCACAACAACACAATCATAACAACAATCACAACAACAACAATCATAACAACAACAACAATCATAACAACAACAATCATAACAACAACAATCACAACAACAATAACAACAACAACAATAACAACAACAACAATACCACAACAACAACAACAACAATAACAACAACAACAACAATCATACCAACAACAACAACAACAACACTAACACTTGTGTCCGTTCCTTCTTGTCTGCAGGCCGACATGAGGTGAAGCTTCTTGCCGTTTCGTCGTGACGACGTTTTCTAAGAAACTGACCCCCATCTCCCCCCCCCCCCACCATAGCCCCCCCCCCACCACCCCCCCCCCCATCGCCCCCCCACCATCGCCCCCCCCCACCATCGCCCCCCCCCCCCCACTTCGCCCCCCCCCACCACACCCCCCCCCCACGACATCGACTTCCCAGCTCTAACAACGCCACCCAAGCCGCACGCTGCCGACTGCCTCGCCTGCGACAATCACCGCGGCCGCCTCGGTGGTGGTGGTGGTGATGGTGGTGTGGTGATGGTGGTGGTGGTGGCAGTGGTAGCGGTGGCGGCGGTGGTGGAGTTGGTGGCGGTGGCAGTGGTGGCGGTGGTGGCGGTGGTGGTGATGGTGGTGGTGGTGGCGGTGGTAGCGGTGGCGGCGGTGGTGGAGTTGGTGGCGGTGGCAGTGGTGGCGGTGGTGGCGATGGTGGTGGCGGTGGTGGCGGTGGTGGAGGTGGTGGCGGTGGCAGTGGTGGCGGTGGTGGTGCTGCTACTGGTGGCGATGGTGGTGGTGGTGCTGCTACTGGTAGTGATGATGGTGGTGGTGGTTCTGCTACTGGTGGTGATGCTAGTGGTGGTGATGATGGTGGTGATGATGATGGTGATGACGGTGGTGGTGGTGTTGCTGCTGCTACTGGTGACGATGATGGTGATGGTGATGCTGCTGCTGGTGATGATGGTGCTGATGGTGGTGGTGATGGTGATGATGGTGGTGGTAATGATAGTGGTGATGATGATGGTGGTGGTGGTGCTGCTGCTAGTGATGGTGGTGGTGCTGCTGCTAGTGATGATGGTGATGATGGTGATGATGGTGGTCGTGAGGCTGACGGACTCCCCCCGATTACAACTCGAGCCGGCGTTTGAGAGTCACCGACGCGAACGCACGGCCGCCTTTGTCTCTCCAGTGGAGTTTCAGAAGAGACGAGATGCTAAACAAACTCCCACTCACCCCCACCTCCCAGCCCCCCCCCCCCCCCCCAGCTCCCCACGGCTTCAGTGTACGGTTCGATTATTTATATATATATACATCCGTGTGTTAAACGGTCGTAGGCTTCCTCCTCCCCTAGGTCGACTCAGCCTCAAATGAGTAATCCGGTGCTGTTTGCGAGTAGTTGAAAAGCTAAAAAAAAAGCATTGCCGCTTGGAAAGACAAAGGCGGTCGGGCGTGGTGCTGGGCACCCACCCCTCGTGTGCTGCTACTCGCTAACAGCACTTGCCCCAACAGTCGGTTTGCAGGCTACACGGGGGATCTTTGTCTTTGCGCGATAGTGGGAGCGGTTCCCGTTGGCATGGAATCGATTCTCCACTCGTGGCCACCACCACCATCACCGACGCCACCACCACCGACACCACCACCACCATCACCGACACCACCGCCACCGGTTGCGATTATTATCTTTAACCGGTTCCTGGGACTCAGTATCCGTACAGGGACTCCTCTACTTAGGCACATTCGACTTACGAACTTTCAAAGATAAGAACAAATCTGTCCGTATGTCCAGTTGCCTGTTCAGACCGAGAGTTCGATGGCGGTGGTGGCATCTACATCTGTAGAACATGAAGAACCAGTGGCATCTACATCTGCAGAACGTGAAGAACCAGTGGCATCTACATCTTCAGAACGTAAAGAACCAGTGGCATCTACATCTGCAGAACGTGAAGAACCAGTGGCATCTACATCTTCAGAACGTAAAGAACCAGTGGCATCTACATCTACAGAACGTGAAGAACCAGTGGCATCTACATCTGCAGAAAGTGAAGAACCAGTGGCATCTACATCTGTAGAACGTAAAGAACCAGTGGCATCTACATCTGTAGAACGTGAAGAACCAGTGACATCTACATCTACAGAACATAAAGAACCAGTAGCATCTACATCTGCAGATCATGAAGAACCAGTGGCATCTACATCAGCAGAACTAGAAGAACCAGTGGCATCTACATCTGCAGAACGTGAAGAACCAGTGGCATCTACATCTGCAGAACGTGAAGAACCAGTGGCATCTACATCTGTAGAACATGAATAACCAGTGGCCCCTACATCTGCAGAACGTGAAGAACCAGTGGCATTTACATTAGCATAACGTGAAGAACCAGTTGCATCTACATCTACAGGAGATGATACAACTTTAAAAGTCATTCCCATGTTTAGTGTCCACGCCGTCCAACATGTTTGTAATGGACAGGAGTAAAGTTGGCACTTACGAACAAACCGACTTACGAACAGTCACCTATGTTAAATTTCGATTGAAAGCTTTCGTGACTGCAGGGATTCATCTTCTTGGTTCTTTCGGTAAAGTCACGTATAAGGATATAATAAAATAAAACATAATAAAAATAATTCTCACGACGTTTCGGCCACAACGCAAGCAGCCGTCCTCAGGCGAAGAAACTACGTTACCTAACTCGTTTGTAAGTAGAGGAGTCCCTGTAGGTGTGAGTTAGTGAACGCCGCCACCTATGGCGAACTAACGGGGGGGAGGGGGGGCCGGTGTGATAGGTGCCACCTCACCCACCTCACCCACCCTCACCCACCTCACCCACCTCAACTCACCTCACCCACCTCACCCACCTCACCCACCTCACCTCACTCACCTGACCCACCTCACCCACCTCACCCACCTCACCCTCACCCCCCCCCCCGTTCGTGTGCCCACTGTGCCGGCCTTCGTACGTGCAGCTTCCACAGCTCTGCTCACAACAGACCTTGCACCTCCACCCCCCACAACAGTCTGTGAAGGC